TTGTTTGGGATGTACCCTAGGAATCGCAGAGGTGAATCTTCTAGGAGAGGTGAAGGTATTGGATCCAGCCTGGACAGGATGGCAGGAAGTATTGTGTCACGCAGATCTGTTTCTGCTAAGCTAATTGAAGCTGAAGGAGCCCCTTTAGTTGGAAGAGAAGCACTTCAAGGAATGGTTCGGTTACTTCGCATGGTTCAGGTGCTCTGTCAGTAGGTTAATTTTCCCCTTTGATGTCAGTCCTTGATTTTGATCTACGAATTAACATCTTTAATTCTGCAGCCACTCTATAAAGGTTCATTGCAGAAGCTTCTCTTGAATTTATGTGCTCATAATGAAACCAGAACAGCGCTAGTTAAAATCTTGATGGACATGCTGCTGCTCGATACACGAAAGCCTGTCGGTTATTCAAATGCAATTGAACCACCATACAGGCTTTATGGTTGCCAGAATAATGTTATTTATTCTCGTCCTCAAAATTTTGATGGTAAGATATGATACAGACTAGTTCATAACCCCTAGTGATTCAACGTGGCTTGTCATGAGAACATTTTCATTCTTCTCTTTACTTTTTAAAGGAACAATTTGTCTTTGTGTAGGTGGATCCTTTACTTTCCTTTTTATTCTTCACGAGTTTCATATCTGGAGGATTTTTATGGTTTTGCCATCATTTGACTTGTAGTAGTCAGGTTCTAAATGGTTTCTTTTATTTTATCCTTTTCATTGTAGGAGTTCCTCCTTTGGTGTCTAGGCGAGTTCTTGAAATTCTCACTTACTTGGCTCGAAATCATCCGCATTTTGCTAAGATCTTACTTCAGTTTGGATTGCCTCTTCCTACCCTACAAGAGCCAAGGAATATTGATCAGTCACGTGGAAAAGCTTTGATGACTGATGAGCAGCGGGAAGGATACATTTCCGTTGCTTTGCTTTTGAGCCTTCTCAATGAACCCCTGTACTTGAGAAGTATAGCACATCTTGAGCAGGTGTTAAGTGATAACACTATTCTAGATATGTTAAGCAATTTTATGTGTTTCTGTTTATTATTTGCTCATTTATTTTTGTGCTTCAGCTGCTTAACTTGTTGGATGTCATCGTTGACCATGCGGAAAGGAAGCCCCTTTCATCTGAAAAATTGAGGGCATCTTCCACTGAACAAATGCCTGCTTTGCAAATTTCAATGTCTGATGCTGACATCAGTGTGGAGAATCGTGATGCTCCTTCTGAAGTTGCTGAATCACCTTTAAAGACTGCTGATTCATCTTCACCCTCAGCATCTGGAGCAACTAATGAATGTGATGTACTGAGTGTACTGACCAATCTCCCACGAGCAGAGCTGCGACTTTTATGCTCATTGCTTGGACGGGAAGGGTAAGTTACTCATCTACACAATGTATTTTTTTATTTTGCAATCTCTTCTGTCAGAAGTCTGTTTTTCCACCATTTATCTTTTGTGCTTCAATTGAAGAAAGGTCCTTGTTTTCATTCTCTGCAACTTGTGGAATTCTTGGGATTTTGCACCTGCTATAATTATGATCTTTTCATTGTCAAATTTTGAATATGATTTTTTGCCTTCTTTCCATATGCTCGGTCTGATGTTCTGTTTACCACCCAGTTTGTCAGATAATGCATATGGTCTGGTGGCAGAGTTAATGAAAAAGCTGGTGGCTATTGCTCCATGCCATTGTCATCTGTTTATTTCTGAGCTAGCAGACGCTGTACAAAATTTGATTAAATCTGCCATGGATGAGTTACAAATGTTTGGTGAAGCTGTGAAAGCTCTAGTCAGCATATCTTCTGATGGAGCTGCAATTTTAAGGGTTTTACAGGCACTTAGTTCTCTTGTTACTTCAATAACTGAGAAAGAAAAGGATCTGCAGCTGCTTCCTGAAACAGAGCGTTCTTCTGCTCTTTCTCTGGTGTGGGACATGAATGTAGCCTTAGAACCTTTGTGGTTAGAGTTGAGCTCTTGCATAAGCAAAATAGAGAGCTATTCAGATTCTGCATCGGATTTATTAGCTTCATTCGGGACTTCCACTTCAAGACAATCTGGTGTAACACCACCCCTTCCTGCAGGCACTCAGAACATCTTACCGTATATAGAATCTTTCTTTGTGATGTGTGAGAAGTTACATCATGCACAACCAGGTTCCAGTCATGATTTTGGCATGGCTGCACTTTCTGATTCTGAGGATGCTAGCACATCTACTGGCCAGCAGAAAACTTCTGGTCCTGTCTCAAAATTTGATGAAAGACATGTTGCCTTTGTGAAGTTCTCAGAGAAGCATAGGAAGTTGTTAAATGCTTTCATTCGCCAAAATCCTGGGCTGCTTGAGAAGTCATTTTCACTTATGCTGAAAGTTCCCCGCTTTGTTGATTTTGATAATAAACGTGCCCATTTCAGGTCCAAAATAAAGCATCAACATGATCATCATCATCACAGTCCTCTAAGAATATCGGTTAGAAGAGCTTACATACTTGAGGATTCATATAACCAACTACGGATGCGGTCAACACAAGATTTGAAGGGGAGGTTAACTGTTCACTTCCAAGGAGAGGAAGGAATTGATGCTGGTGGGCTTACAAGGGAATGGTATCAGCTGTTATCCAGGGTTATATTTGACAGAGGAGCGTTGCTTTTCACTACAGTGGGCAATGAGTCAACATTCCAGCCTAACCCCAACTCAGTCTACCAAACAGAACATCTTTCATACTTCAAATTTGTTGGGCGAGTTGTGAGTATCTTCTCTATTGAATTGACATTCTTTTTTTGTTAACTTTTTATTCACTTCCTAATTAAAATTTTCCAGGTCGGCAAAGCACTTTTAGATGGGCAACTCTTGGATGTCCACTTTACTCGATCTTTCTACAAGCATATCTTAGGGGTCAAAGTTACTTATCATGACATTGAAGCAACTGATCCTGATTACTTCAAAAACCTAAAGTGGATGCTTGAGGTCTGTCATTTGTCAATTTTCTGTATATTTTCTTCCTTTTTCTTAGAGGAAAAGGGAGCAATAGAGTTTAGTAGTTTGCTGGCAATTATCTTTCATGGTTCATTAGAGAAATTATCTTTTTGCACCTTCTTTTTCCTTACTTCTTTTCTTGATTGTTTTTTCAGAATGATATTAGTGATGTCCCTGACCTTACTTTTAGCATTGATGCTGATGAGGAGAAGCTGATATTGTATGAAAAGACACAGGTACTGATTTTAATTGATCCTTTCACGAAGCCCTTTGTGATGACACTATTTTGGTTATAATTATGTTCCACAAATATGATGCAGGTTACTGACTATGAGCTGATTCCTGGTGGTCGGAACATTAAAGTTACTGAGGAGAATAAGCACCAATATGTTGATTTAGTTGCTGAGCATCGTTTGACAACTGCTATTCGTCCTCAAATAAATGCATTTTTGGAAGGATTCAATGAATTAATTCCTAGGGAATTAATATCTATTTTTAATGACAAGGAGCTGGAGTTACTGATAAGTGGTCTTCCAGATATTGATTGTAAGTGTTGTAAACCAATTTATGTGATGTTAATTATGTGATGCAATGCTTTTTTTGCCACCATGATCTGAATATGACCTGATCTGTAATAACTGTCTCCCAGTGGACGACATGAGGGCAAATACCGAGTATTCTGGGTATAGTGCAGCATCACTTGTTATACAGTGGTTTTGGGAGGTTGCTCAAGGGTTCAGCAAGGAGGATAAAGCTAGGCTTCTACAGTTTGTGACAGGCACCTCAAAGGTAATTCAACACCTGAAATTGTAGATAATACTACTTGTTATTTGACATTTCATGTTGTTAACTGTAGTTCAACCCAAAGGTTAATTATTAAATGTTTGAATTAAGATTCAGGTAGGATAAAGTTCACTGTGAAATATTAACATGTTTATTTCTTCGACTATGTAGAGATGTAGCATAGCTCTCTATTAGTTTCTAAAATAATCTTTGTTATTGCTTTACATTGCTGTCTTAAATAACTTTTGTTTCATGACCGATCTCAAATCTCAATTGTTTTTCTTTGTAATTCACAGGTGCCTTTAGAAGGTTTTAGTGCACTTCAAGGAATTTCAGGTTCGCAGAAATTTCAGATACACAAAGCATATGGCAGCCCCGATCACTTGCCTTCTGCTCATACCTGGTAATCTGAGATACTTGTCTGAACGATATATTTGGTTAATCGTGCAACTTAATGATTTTTTTTTTTTTTGGCGAGTTCTGTCTTTTACTTGCAATTTGCGGCTTCAAACATTCTTCATTAGTAAAAAGCATTTCTTTGTGATCAATGCAGTTTCAATCAATTGGATTTACCTGAGTATCCTTCTAAGGAACATCTAGAAGAGAGACTGCTGCTTGCGATTCATGAAGCCAATGAAGGGTTTGGATTCGGCTAAAAGATTTCAAGCGGTAATCTGAGTCATCATGTAGATAAGATATATATGCATCGGGATCCTGATATGGGGGTATAAGGGCTGGGCTGACGTTGAATTTATGCATGTTAATATTAATATACTTGTACAGTCACATATTGGCTATAGCAATGGCTCTGGCAGTTTTAAATTTGCCATCGTTTTCGTTCATTTTATCCCTTTTCTCTCTTTCAGATTTGCCTGCCTTTCCTTTGTTAAAAAGAAACAGGAGAGGTTCACTGATTATCCGTGTTGTTGACTTGAGACCCTTCTATGTAGTCTTACATGAAATTTGGTCATTTTCTTACCTTAAATTGTACAATAATTGCATCAAGCTTATTACCACTTTTTGCTACGTCTTCTCTAATTTTTTATTTGATTTGTAAACTTGAACGAGTTTAATTGCTTAAGGCAAATAGTCTTATCTATTATTTGGAGTTTAGACCATCCCTCTAAGCTCAGGCCTTTCCTTAAAATAACAAAATTTACTCAATCCACAAATCAGAAAATGATTTAAAAGGCGAGTTTAACAAAATGGAGTAAAATAACAAAAAGGCGAGTTGTCATTAACATTTTTTTGGCCAAAAAATTAGCTTGATCAAATCAACCTAAAAATGATAAAAATAAGGTAAATTCAGTAGTTGACTATATATTTGTTATTAGTACTATATCACACTTGAGAGTAAAAGAACAAAGGATAACGGTAACACAGCTAAAATTACATCCCACTTCCCCATTATCTTAACCACATTTTCAACTTGTTGCTGCTCTCTCTAAGTCCTTTACCCTGATCTCGGTTGATTTTGTTGATGGACAAGGCTTTTTCAACAGCATTGACTGATTTTGTACTCCTCGTGATCCTATCTAATGCTCTAGATGGGTCAATTTTCCTCGTCTTGTTAGATTCAGTTAATAACATCTTCTTGTCAAGCAGAGAAGATGATGATAGTAAAAGATTGTTCTCATTCCCTTTACTCTGTATCTGCTTTTTTCTCCTTAACTCTCTAAGGGAATCAGTTCCTTTCAATAAGTCAGAGCCCACAGTCACTGTTCTTCTGCTATTAGAGTTTAAGCTCCTTAGACTTGGAGGATCCATGCCGGATACAGTTTCTATGCTCAATGCTTGTGTCGTGATGGGTGTCCCTTGTGAATTCTCTGCACAATATACCAGTCGCATAGTCCCTTCCTGGTGTTGTCTTAACTTTAGTTCAAGTTCATTAGCCTACAAAATTACGCAGAAAGGGTTTAGTTTTTCACTGCAGCATCCTGAACTTTATTTCCAAGTAACATTGAAAGAAGACAGAAAGAACCTTTTGTTGACGCAATAGTGATCCTCCACTTTCTCTTTCCATTTTCAGCTTGCTTTCAAGTTCTTTAACCTGTATCAACAGAATTAGATAAATATTAGACGTCCAGACAGGATTCTTCCGGAAATGGCAAATAAAAGAAAAGAATTGGACAAATATCTTTATTGCTACATAGCTTTACGTTTATTTGCGTTATCAATGAACTACCAAATTGGAAGTTGGCAGCCACTCTTGGCTGTATTTATTTACCATTTTCCTTTCAGATTAGACTTACCATTATGAAATTTTATGCGAAAGGAGTTAGAAGTTGGCAACATGGTAGAGGGTGGAGTTGATGGCATATATCAATGGAGTTGATGGCATTTACCAAGGGCTGTTGAAGTAAAAAACAATGTAAAAGAAATTGATGCTACTAAGCCAAGATTTTCATTGGTTACAATCACCTTTTGCTGTAGCATCCCAGAATGAATCTCAAACTCCCGTGTTCTCTCTTTCAATATGCCCTCAAGCTCCTTGACCTGTAAAGAATAATACAATCAATGAATTTAAAAGTGCAAAATTTAAACTTCGAGCCCTTTTAATTTTATAGGTATTAAATCTCTGGGACACTCTTTTTCTTTTCTTATTCCTTCGCTAAGTTGTCATATGAATAAGGGATTCAAACGTAATGAACTTATACTCAATGTCAGAGTTTCATTTAAAGCCAAAACCTTTCGCTGTAGAGTCGAGGATGCTGTCTGCTCACGCTCTTTCAGTTTGTTATCGAGCTCCTCAGCCTTTGGTGGAAATAGAAGTCAAACATAGCATATGATTACTTTGAATGAAAAAGGTCAAAGGATAAAAAACTGGATTATTCAATTGACAATCAACCTTTAGCTGAAAATTTGAGCAAATTTCTTCCTTCTCCATCATTCTTTCTGAAAGTTGCAACACCTGCCTCTCTAGTTGTCTACATAACTCTGCCTTGGATGCAAGCTGGTCTTCAAGTTCATTGAGCTTTTCTTCTTGGGTTTCGCAAAGCTGATCCCTACCTTTGGCTTTATCCTCTAAGTTGTGAAAGTTCTCTTCTGACTTTCTTAAAGCATCATCTTTTGACCTCAGTTCTTGCTTTGATTTTTCAAGCTTCAAATTGTTCATCAGGAATATAAGGGGAAAAAAGGTACACATTCAGGTTTCAGTAAAGAAAGAAATCCACTTCAACGTTCTTGTTTTATCTTTGATTATGTAAATCAAATAAACCATCAAAGCGCTTACCATCTGTTTCAACTTTTGAAGCTCAGCAGTGTCAACCTGCTTCTTTACTGGACCCAGCTCCACCCCTCGAACCCGACTTGCAAAATTTAAAGAACTTAGGGTCTCACCTAAGTCCTGCTCCGATGGGCTGATTTGTACAAACATCAAGGTTTTAGAATCACCCCCTAAAGCAGATTAATAAAAGCTTTTAGAAAAAGGCAGATAATACTTTTGTTTCGTTCATATGAAAAAAATTAATAACTTGTCATCATAGCAAGTGCACCATATTCTATAATAGAAGTATTTTCTTGTGAACTCTGAGCAGTGGTCATACATACAAAATCACATGACCTCAATTCTTTCTGGAGTCTAAATTTGAACTTTTTCTAAGTCAACTAATAGGGTATTCAAATAAGAAGATCTTTTCATGTGATTGCCTACCTAAGGAATCTTGGAGTAGATGTGTGAGCTTGGAATTCCTGCAAAATCCAATAGATAAAATCTGAGTACTCAGAACCAGTGATAGACATCTGGAATACAATGAGATGAACATCAAACCTATATGGGATGTGGCTGCTTTTGTTAGCCAAAGCAGAAATCACATCTCCTAAAGCGGAAAGTGATCTGTTAATGTTCTGGGCTTCCTTGAGCCGTTCTCCTTGCACCTCAGTTTTTGCTAGCCTTTCACTACCAGCCAAATCCACAAGCCATAGCTTGCTCTTGGTGCACTCACCACTAATCAAATTCTTTGCTCTAACCAATATGCGGAGCATGCTGCAAAAACAATAGATATATGAGACCTAAAACAATATCTTCTATAACATACAAGTTCTTTCCCTTTATCACTTTATACAGATACAGAGAACAAGAACAAAATTTATATAAATAAAAATAAATACGAAAATTGTTATAAAAGAGACCATTACATAATATAGCAAAAACCACTAATTTGCTTGTTGCCTTGAGCAAAAACCAGAGTTAATCATAAAAAAAGAAAGTTCTGGCAATACTAACCAATGAGATCGGCTACTATGCTCGTTCACATTGTTTGACCCTACAGCTCTTGCACTGTTTCCAGCCTGCAGGACATTCCAAACCTCCAGGATATTTTCGACTTTGGCTTCCACTATCCCAGGAACATGATGAAATCCTTCTGAAGCTTGCCTTATCTCCAGCCTAAAACATTAACAAGATCCATCCAATCAATGTCAATTATTACACTCACCACAGAACTATACCGAGCTGAAACTAATTGTTTGGTGTAAATAAGATTTTGAATTTACCTTTTCGATGTTGGTGCAGTTGCAAGCAAGTCTCTAATTTGCTCATTGTAGACTTCAAGCACACTAACAAATATACTGAATGTAGAAGTTTCTTTCCGCTCTTCGACAATTTTAAACAACTGCTCTAATGTCCTATAGTTTACTCCTCGATTCTGCTCTGTACCTTCCATGGTAAAAGTCTTCCCTGTCCCAGTCTGCCCATATGCAAATATACAGACATTGTAACCATCTAACACTGAAGTTACCATGGGGGAAGCATCTGCAAACACATCAACTGCACCAGCAGAAAAGTATTTGAGTTAAAATATGTTCTATTTTTCCTTATCCTCAGCTGAAACAATTCTATGAGTTATTTCATCTTCAAACATCCTCTGAGCTTTTGATCATAACTCAGTCAAACTATTAGGACCAACTAATTAATTTGTTTATTTTTTTGCTACAAACCTACAGTCAGAAAATCAATGAAACTGAAGTATGCATCATACAAATATCAAAACAGGTGATAGAAGGCAGTAATCACTTTTGAGCTGGCGATAGCCAAAGGAGGAAAAAGAGCTGACCTATTGGGACATATTTTCTAAAATACTAAAACGAAAATTAAGCTAACAAAATCTATTTATAATATTTACTGTTCTTTATGTTGTTAAGTATACCACATACCAGGGTCAGGATGCTTAACAGAGAAGGTTTGTACCATTTAATGGTGTTGTTATTCAAAGAACTTATTTTATAGCACAATACCTTGATCATCCTTAGGTGTATAAACTTGATGGAATTTGAAAATTTTCTTTGTGGAGCTGCCTGTAAGTATCCCTATATCACCATCCTTAGCTGCACTAAAATCTGCAACCGTTGCATGCCCAACTGAAGCCTCCTCCTTATTTAATGGACGGCACCTACAGAACACTCTAATGTTTCCTGTAAATTAAGATTAAATAAGCAATCTTCGGTTAGGTTCAATCGACACTTTAAACATGGAAAATAGAATGTGAAAATTTTAAACATCAAAACATGCCTTTTGCTTCCTCTATCTGGTTATGCAGCTTTTTCCTCATTGCCTGCTCCTCATTGAACTTCAGTTTTAGATCTTCGCACTGTGCCACTGCAGTTCAGAATCTTCAGATAGAGTATTAAGATATAGAGGTTTTTACAAAAGATTTAGTTGCTTGGTGAGACATACTCACCCAATCCTTGAACTGCAAATATCATCTTATTTAATTCTGGAATTGAATCAGTACAGTCATGAGCCTTATTAGAGAGTTGAGAATGCTCTCGCTTCATGATCTGAAAAGGATCAGTGAATATGAAACAGCCTCTTTGATGTTTAGGCAGGTTTTTCAAGAAGATTTCTGCAATTTGTGGACAAAATAAAAACTATAGTTTACCTTTATTTTTCTCTCCAACTCAATGATTGAAGCAATCCAAAATCTCTTATCACAGTCATATTTACTAGAAACATCCTTCAACTTTGCAGCTTCTTTTTTCAAGGCTTGATCTACATAAACATTAGGCATGATCAGAAGAATTTTAGTTTTCTAGCAAGAAGAACCCATAGGTTCTTAGCAACCTCCGCTTCCTAAATTGTCCTTCCATCAAAACTTTCGGATAAATACATCCTTACCTAAATACATATTTTGGAAGAACTTGTTGTCAAGTTCCATCCTGACCTTCTCTAGTTGCTCATTTGTAGATGTTAATGACATCCAAGCTTCATAGCATTCATCTGCCTTGAGTTGGCACAGATTCTTCAGTTCTTCGATCTTCTTTTCATACTTTTCTGTAGATTTCATCCCCATATGTTTCTTCTGCATACCACATGAACATAAAATGACGGTAAGCAATAATCTTTTGTACTTCAAAGGTCTCAATCTAAAGGTTTGTATCTAACCTGAGGTGACGATATTTCCATTTCAGCAGCACAATTGTTGCACACAAAATAATCGCATTTTACTTGAGATTCTTTATCCAGTTTAGAAGACAATAAAACAAGAAAATTAGCAAGTCAAGGACCTCCAGGAAATATTCATAAATATAGAAAACTAACATGAAGGAGGAAAGTTACCATGTGATTTCATTGCCCGTTTTATGCAAATCGCATTAACTATTGGACTTCCACAAACACTTTCAAACCTTATAACAATTGCCCTGTCGTCCTCCACGGAAACTCTAATATCTACCACTTGCAACGGCTTGTTTGCACCAACAATAGAGTATATATCAAGTTCAGACAATACCTGCCATTTTCACCAAAATGGAAAACAACTATTAATCAACAACACTGAACCAAACAACTTTATACATTAGAGTCTTATCTAATTTGACTTGCCTTGTCTTCTTGAATGAAGACATCAAAAACTCTCATTCCTTTAGGACCATTGGTGTTTACAATTTCTGAAAAATGAAGATCAACCAAATAGTCCCCCAGGGCAAAATCATTGAATCTGTAAGTGAAGTTTCCAAAACGAGCTGATTGATAAATGGATGGCATATCACCGCCATCATTGATGCTTTCATTGGTTCTTAAGACATCCCCTCCATGGAAAAAGCTATCTCCACAAACATCGATTGTGCACGTTCCCTTTTTCTCTACAGTTCCACCTCCCGCATTTACAAACATTACAGCATTGTCTGGATCAAAACAGAACTGTCGCTTAATAATAATAATAATAATAATAATAATAATAATAATAATAATAATAATAATAATAAACACAGGAAAAGAAAAAACTACAAGAAAATAAAAGGGAGTTTAAATTTTCATATTTTTCCTTTTTTACAGCAACTAACTCACGATTATAACAATTTGATATTAAAAAAATTTCCAAAGAATTCGAGATTCCTGGTTTCGCTTATTGCCTTACTTGTTCACAGCAACAAAAACAGACTCAAAGACATAAATCAACATTACAAACTCGGACTAAGAAAATACACTAAGAAACAAGAATTGACGACAAGGAAAATGAAAGTAAATTAGAAATAAAGAAAAAAAAACCTGTGAAATTGGAGGTAATAAAACCAGATTTAATCAATCTTGAACCAGAAAGGCAGAGTGTGTAATCTAATTCATCTTCTTCATGTTCATTCTCAGATTCAGAATTCATAGTATTTTTGGGATCTTCTTCGTAGTTATAGAAACTGCGAGGCCAAGAATTTGGGGTTAGGAATTTGGAGTGTTGGAGATAAGAGTTAGGGAATTGCGATTCTTCCATGAGAGAAGATCTGGAAAAAAAAAACAGGGAATTTCGAGTGGAGCTGTTTTTTAAAATCTTGCTCTGTTTCACTTTCTTTTTCTTTGCTTTTCACTTGTACCGAATTGCCTTAATTGCTTCGAAATTTGAATTTTCTAAAACGGCGTTTGAATTCTATACTTTTTTGACCGTTACTCACTTACTCTTTTAGTTGAGGTCCCAAGGCTCCCCGTGCCCGTGGGTCATATTGTGGGCCGCGTCGTGAGATAATGTGGGGCCCATGTATGGTCCAAAACTACTTTTCCATTTTTACCCCTCTAGTCTTAACTCGCTCCTAACTATTGACCCAAACCCAAGAAAGTAGAATTTCAAGGTCCAGCCAGATCCTTACAGAATGCTTTGTACAAGACTTGGCTCAAAAGCTGGGTTTTTTTTTTTTTTTTTTTTCATTTTTTCAAGAAGGAATTTGTGATTTGCCTATGTCATGAAGCCACCTATATACATATGGAAGGGTTAATATCGGGTCACAGAGAAAGTACGTGAAAGATAAAGCAAATAGACACATCCAAAGAACTTGGCCTAACTTTTAATTTACATTATCAGGACTTCAAATGGGAGCCTTACTGCCATTGGTTGAAATGTTCACGTTTTCTTGGTTCTGCTAGATCACAAGTTGCCACAGGCACCCTGAAGCAGTCAGTGATCTCACACGGTAAAGTTCCTCCTGGAGTTTTAAAACTCAACGGGGTTTAAACGCTTTATTCCAAATGCATACCGAAACCCAATCTGAGAGGCGGTATGCAACACCATGTGTTCTATAATTTCTAACCCCATAATATAGCTGATTGGCTTTAGTCACCTTCTTTTCCCCCTTCTTTTTTGGTTATAAAGTCAGAATCAGAAGTTAACGTCTAAAGTAAATCTTCCCTTGCGCATCATCCTTGATAATGTTGTGAAGGGCTGTCAGGAAAGGCAGCAGGCCACAAGACTACTTCACTTTCCCTAAGAACCATTCTTCAAAGATGATCAGCTGCTTTATTTGTTTCACGCCATGAGTGAGTAACCCGACAGTTCTCAAACTTAGAAGTTTCCAGAATTGCTTCAAACAGCTATTACCCTTTGCACCATATAGCTGCTCGCAATTAATGGTTTTCACAACACTCATTGAATCAGATTCAACCCATAATACTTTAATACCAAACCGGAAGCAAGAACAAGACCCCTTCAGATAGCCCATAGTTCAACCAAGAAAATAGCATCTTCAGGAGCTTCAGAGACAAAAGCACATAGTGGATTACCCTTGTAATAGCGAAGCAAACCACCAAAACCCGAATTTTCAGGACCTACGGATCCATCTGTATTTAATTTTATGCATCCTCTCTCTGGCTTCCTCCATTTACACCATCTAATTGATCGGGTGATGGATTTAGAAGGCCACTTCATCTTTCAATCTTCAGGTTTCCGAGAAAAACAATCTATCATCTTTCTTTGTCATTGAAGATGACTTGCAAGTGTCCCTCAATGGCAGTGCATCTGCTCTGTGTTCATCTTGGTATTGTGTTTCTTTACACATTTTTCACTTAAAGTACTTATCAAAGTACACAGCTCCATTCCTTTTGAACTCTCTTTGGATGGGTTGACCAAGTACAATTGACCTCTGTATTGTCAAAACTGAGATCAAAATTTCCCTGGCACAAAGAAATGTGAAAAGGAAAACGACTTCCATAAAAACTCATGATACCTGATTCAATCAAAACCTAGCACACCTTCACTGAAAAAAAACCTATGAAACTCCTATGAATTAAAGAAGTTTATAGAGTGAGAATAAATCTTTGCATCCTTTTCCCATTTCATTAATTTGTTAGCACGTTTTTACATAAACCATCCCTTTGTAGATGCCCCAACGTTGTAGTTTACTGTGCTTTTATCTACAGATGTACCTTCCATCGATTAATAATGTTACTCTAAAATCATCAACTACAAAACTACTTGGCCAGTGATAAGTATTCCAATTTTGACCCATTCTTGAGTCTGTTTCTATCAGCATCATCAACAATATCATTCTGTGCTTCAAATTCGATGCCCTTGTTCTCTCGGAAGAAATTGATATTCCATATTTTCTCTATAAAACAAGGTCTAATGAAATGCTTGAAGACATAAGAAGCACCACCCTTTGCATGCGGCCAGAAAGGAAACCTGCCATGATAAAAACAAAGTTGACTGAGAAAATCCTAGCGAACACTGAGATTAGCACATGTAAATATGCACACTAGTGGCAGGTCTCAACTCTTGTTCCATCAAATTATATAATAAGTTCATAAAATTTTCCGAGTTGAACTATAAAAACAAGCGAAAACACAATTAAACAATTTAAACTATCAATTTCAACTCTCAAAGGCAAGAATTACCATTTCAAAACCTTCCCCAGCGTCAGCTCCACCCTTGTAATCAAAGCAAACAGAATCCAGTATCTCAGACATTGCTTATTTTTTAAGGAAGAATTCGGGATCCCTACCTTCCGAATTGAAACATACCTACAATTGAAATAGGCGACACAATAAAATCAGCCAGACAAACACAGAAGCCAAGTCCCAGACGTTCAGAATTTAAAACCCACTTTCAGTATATCAAAACGTATTTGAGAAAAGTTTAAGACGATAGCCACTTACAAGGGATAAATTAAAGTGAATGAAGGCCTGAAGATCAATGAAAGTCAGAAAAGTAAACGTTGGTGACTTTGAGGCAAATACTTAATAAGCTTTAAAGAAAACTTGAATCAAACAAGCATAAGATCTAGTATCTTATCTCATTGCAGAAGGTTTAAAGACAATAAATAGACAAAGAAAAACATAATTGCATACCAACAGAGAACAGTGAAGACATTTGCTAAGAACTAGAGACAATTTTTTGGGTAAAATGGACAAATATTACTTGCCGAAACGAAGACCAATCGTCAACCGAAGCAAGTGCTGTGATGCTGAGTTCAGGCATTCGAGTTTAGAATAAGGGAAGAAAAATTCAGTACTTGTAATTTTTTATGAAGTTAAAGCGGGATAATTGGTTATGGCAACGTGATTAAAGATGTTTTTTTTTTTGGATGAATGATTAAAATAAACTTACAACAATCCTAAATAAAAAGAGGCCATAAGTTGTAAAACTTTTAAATTAACAGCAGTGGCGATCCACTTCAAATTAAATATATCCAGGCAATGAGGGGGCTCCATTACTTCCACTACTTTCACATAATTACGAATATGGTTTTTAACATATCGTTGCTCAATCTATTGAAAGTGTCCTCTGCCATTGTTACATCTCGCTGTAACATTGTCAGCTCAACTCTCTCTCTCTCTCTCTCTCTCTCTCTCTCTCTCTCATATGCATGGACATGATCACATGTTTGCATCCATGTCGCTACCATGCACAAAAATATAATTTCGGTTCACTTTGCAGTGCCTGGTTCGATTTACATTCTCTCCCTTGGATTGCCATATCTCCCTGATGGTGCAGGCTGAAGCCCCTATTTCCTGTTTGAAAGCTTGATTCTCATGTTGGGTCCTGTTCTCTGTAACATTTCGCCAACTTTGAAGGAAGGCTCAAAAATATCTTGACGTAACAAATTTACAGTTGATTAAGAGGTACATCAGAGATTCGACAAAACGCCAATTCAAATGTAAATACGACGATTCATTATGCTGAAGGGAGCATTTTTTCACCCTTTAGGGATAGTCTTTTTCATACATTACAGAATCCCCATGGCCTTGAGGCGTTGAATATTTCCTGCATAATTACTACAGTGTACAATACTATGATTGTTTTTTCCTTGAGATGATGGCTTCAGTTTTAAGTAAAATCAAAATAATCTTATTATCCGAAACCGGTAGCCTCTTCTATCAACCATTCCAATCGTTCGCTCACAGCATCGAATCCTCATACACTCTTGGATCCTCCTTGGTTAGATTCATTAAACCGATCAATTAGAGAACAAAATTTCGTTTCTTTCATATGTTAATTCTAAATAAATATAGGGTGCGGTGGACCAAAGATGATGCCGAGGCCCTAAAATACTAGTCAAGAGGGAAGCAACAGAAGAATTTACTACATAACGATTGTATTCCTATTGTATGTTTCGATAAAATGAATTGCGGAAAAAGAAAAATAACAAATGCTTCATACAAACCAAAACTTTATGAAATGCTTTCAACAGAAAACTTGAATGCAAAATTCCCGGGCTGACTTCAGATCCCCTTTCACATGTACATACAGTTTGTTGCCATTTAATGTTTCCTCTGCGAGCAGACAAAAATGTCAGAATTCTCAATGCTATATAAATCTGGGCGATACTTGATTTATAAATAGTAAATACAAGCCAACTAAAACTTTTACAAAAAGAAAATACTGTGCAAATACTCAATAAGCATTAGAGATAAAAAAGATAGAGCTGCAATTTGATTGATAAACTAAATATGTTTCTAATTAAAGCCACGTCCAGAAATGAGATCACTGAGGATTCTCCGACTTGCTTCTTTCAATAAATGAGGTGCATCAAGCCAACCCATAATACAGCAACCATTGGCTATAATAAGTAGTACCGTACACAAGTCAAATCCTATCATTGCAACTAGATTTATAAAATTACATGGATAAATTCAATCGCAACATAAGACTGAATAACTATCAGGCAGATACACAAGTCAAATCCCATCGTTGCACATACACAAAAAGTCAAAACCTATCATTGCGACAAGAATTATAAAATACATGCATAAATGCAATTCCCACATAAGACTGAACAACTGTCAGCAGAAAATGCAATCAGTTGGTGCTATTCATGTCAAAACAATTTACACATGGTTATGGAAATTCAGGGTAAATGACAGAGACGATAACATAAACATTCAAGCAACAAACCTTGCGCTTTTTGAGCTTCCTCATTCCACCATTACCATTACTGAAGTCAGTTGGCTGCTCATTGGTATCACCTCCCAATGGTAAAGTTTTAATTTCATCATAGAAACTGTCAGTCAGACCAAGCAACCTAATACAAACAAGGGATAAACAGGAAAAAAAAAAAGGAATTACATTTACAACCAAAAACTTAGCATGAAAGCTAATTCACTAAAATTTTCAGCCTGAAAGACACTAAGAGTAAATATGCATACCCGTTTCTTGACTTCTTCAAGTGTTTCTCTATCTTTTTGTCCTTCTTTGTAACAGGAGCACGAGTAAAAAGTTCTTCCTCTTGCTGTGCACGCCTTTCCATCTTTTCCATATATCTAGTGAGTTCTCTACTTTCCGTTCCAATAATTTCTCTAACCTGGAATAATTAGCAAACAAAAAAGTAAGCTGAATTCAAAAGTGAACCCGATTAATGAAACAAGAACAGTCTACCAACTAACCTCTTCAGGTCTTCCTTCTAAATCATCCATTATTTCCCTAATATAAGTGCTCCGTGAAGCTTTCCGCAAAGCTTCCTTTTCCCTTCTTAAAGCATTCCTTTCCTCTCTTGACATCTTATGATCCTCTTCCACAACTGCAGGGGCGAATTTGGGTGGTCTATAAACACCAATACCATTCTACAATACACAAACACAGACTTAATAAACAAAATAAAATTAAAGTTTCAGGAAAAAGTTGGTGAAATATTTAGCAAGACTAACCTCTGACATCATATCTGCTTTGCTAATAAGCATATCCGGGTTTGGGCGATAATTCAATGGATCCTCTGTCTTCTGAGGTCCATCTGATTCTTCATTTGAACCTACTTTCTGCATTGCACTCCCACTAACCCTTATAAGCTTTTGGATTTGGTATTGAAGTTTTTTGTCGATTGGCCTAATCTGTTAATAACCAAAAAAAAAAAAAAAAATTCAGACCACAACCTAGAAATCAGACAAATACTAAACAGACAAGGAGAAACAAAAATCCTAAACCTTTTCAAGAAACAATCTAATCTCAACAAGACTCCTAACAACGGGATGTCCCTCAATCGAATATCCTTTTGCCTTGCGAAGTAAATAATAGACAAGTGATTGACAATAGTTCAGAAGCAACAAATGTTTGGCTTCCAAATAACTTATCCCATCCGCGGTCAGCAAGTTATTTGCTTTCACCTATCACGCAAATCAGTGGAAAATATCGATTTAAACAAAATAGAACTTCAAAAAAAAAAAAAAAAAGAAGAAAAAAAGTGACTGGCGAGTGGCCGAAGCTTCTTACCTTAGCGGTTAAAGCTTGTACTTTGGTAGTCACTACATCTAAGCCAGTTTTCATTTCTTTCAACACAGCAGCTAACTGCTTTGCTTCTCTGAAACCCAAAACATAAAACCAAATAAACAATTTTAAATTGCTATTACTCGGATGACAACGATAAAAGGAGAAAATTGATAATACATTACTTACTTTTTCAATCTTTCATTTTCGCTAGTGTTATCGATCTCTGCCATGGTTTATTGATTAATATTCACCTGTAATTTACGAAGCAACAACGGGCGCAACAGTTCTCAGGCGGAGATATGAAATTGAAGGGTAAGCGCCGCCGGCTAGGTTTGAATGACAGGAGGCACTCCAGTCAGTACAGAAAATAAAAGGTAATTTGGGCTGGATATAAGTTTTAAGCTTATCGTCCCAATGAATATCATTTGGTTTTAAATGCTTTAAACCCCTAGATGGGCCCAAGTATAATTAAAAAGCCCATACTTTAAAACTAGTCAGCCCCAAACTAATTAAGAGTGTTCATGAGCCAGATTAGCTCGGGTTCGGCTAATTCTTGTAAAAGTTTATCCAAAACCCGATTCATCAGTGAAAACACGTTTTTAGGCCGGCTAATATTTAAAAATGTTATAAATATTTTTAAATGTAAATAAAAATAATTAATAAAAATAATTCAGATCGAATCGATTGAATCTAAAAAATCTTATCTGAGGCCCTTTCTGCTAGGCTCGTTGGGTGATAGACAACCTAACTATGAATAAGTGTGAACCCAAATGCAAAAGAATTAAATTACTTTAATTAATACTATGCATAATTGTGGTTAAATGACTAAAATCTCGTGATAATTTTTCAATATAAGCAGGAGCATGCCATGAATGATTTTTTTTCTATGAATGCAAGTATGAAGTTAATATTGTGCATGGCCATTATGTATTAATTCTAGATTAATTTTGCCATTTAAAACGGTTGGCCTGATCATATTCATTTTCCTATATATTTTTCCAAACTCTTCACCTCTTTCGTCAGGCAGTTAGCAAGTGAGAGTGAATAGATTTTTTCAATATCCAAGCAAACAAAAGCAACCATGCCAAAGCCAAAGCCAAATACAAATAGGACTAAGCGGATTCAAAAGGAGTGGGCAAATATCCAAAAGGATAAGGAGATAAACAACATGTGCAGTGTTGGTCTCGTTGGGGATAGCCTCGACTTTTGGCAAGCTACAATCTTTGGCCAACCTGGTACTCCTTACGAAGGAGGTTTATTTCGTTTATCCATTAACTTGCCAAACGACTACCCAATCAAACCACCCAAAGTTACCTTCGAAACTAAAATTTATCACCCCAACATTAACAAACAGGGTAGCATTTGTCTTGATATGCTTAAAGATAAGTGGACTCCAGCTTATGAGGTAAGGGCTGTTATTATCGCAATTTGCTCGTTGATGAGTGATCCAAACCCAGATGATCCGCTAGAGCCTTCCATTGGTGCTGAGTACAAGCGTGACCGGCGAGCGTTCGAGGCTACTGCTCGTGCATGGACCATGCATCATGCTCAACCTTAAGTAATGAAGACTACTATAAAATAAGCAATTTGCATGCATGAAGGCTTGAAGTATATGCAATGTTTATTGGAATAATTTTAATGAATAAAAATTATCTGAATTTTATGCATGCTTGAAAACATTTTATCAATTCTATTGGTTGTGTTATCCACCTTTTCAATACAAAAACTTCATTAGTTGGATTATTTACAAATTTTTTTGTTAAGTACTAGCTTAATTATAAATCAAGAAACATAAGTTAAATTTCAAGATTAATAAATTTGCTTAGACCACGTTCGGTAAAAAACAATCTTTAACTTTAGTTGAGAATTAAAATTTTGAGCTTCAGTACGATGAAAATATCTCTCATTTTACAATCATGATTTGCCAAACCAAACCATAATATTGAATGTAATAAATTACTTATATATGGCTTTGAATTTAAGAGTCCGTTGGATTAGATATTTAGAAAATACATTTCAATCAGGACATTGAAAAGTCTAAAATCTAAAATCCAATTGTTTTGTTTGGCAAAAAAAAAAAAAAATCAAAATTAGGAGAAATCACCTCAAATTCTTTTACTTAAATCTAAAAAACCTCCCTAAATTTTATAATTTTATTTAAATAAATTATTATATTTTTATTACATCCAAACAAATTCTTAACTTTTAATTCAACCAAACAAACTCTCAATTTTTAATTTGCATTCAAATAAGCCTTTAATCATTATATTCAAATAAATCCTTAATTTTTAATTTCTACTTGAGTAATCGCTTAACATAATTGATCTTTTGTTTAAAATAAAAATTTATTTGGATACAAATTAAAGAATAAAAATTTATTTGGATACAATAAAAATATAAAGATTTATCTGAATAAAATAATAAAATTCAAGACCTTTTTTTTTAATATTTTAACCTTTAAAAATCTACCTAAAGATACGATTAAATAGATAGAATCCTAATCTTTCTGTTTTTTAGCCCGGCAATTCAGTTAAAATTGGAAAGATGGATAGTTATGAATTGGATAAAAAACACTGGTGTCTCGCATATTCTTCCTAATAGACTATCTCTCTTGTTTCAGAAAAGTGTTTTTTTTTTTCTTTCTTTTCTTTTCTTTCCAGTTTCCACTTGCACCTTTCTATCACGTCACTTCTTTTTCCTACCAAGCACAAAGTAGGTCTGGTACTAGATTTTGGTTGATAGGATAATATGGAGTAATTTTGCTTAAAGAGTAGCATGGACCTTTGAAAGTTGAATTTTCCTTTCATGTTGTGTCTTTTGGGTGGAGTTTCTGGTATTTGTCTCTTGTAAGATGGGGCATACCACTTGGCATATTATTGCAATGATGGGCTGCTTTATTTGCTGTCAACATATATGCGTTACTTTGTCCTGGAAGTGCACCTTTTACCTCTGTAAAATCTTTTAGTGTTAGTATGTGGAGAACCTGATCATTCCGAATCTTTTTAATTTAGTGTGGAGAGTGGTTTGCATTGGAAATAAATCTGAATGGATCAGGGGCAAGATTTAAGTATGTCTTTAAAGTTGAATTTCTTTGAGTGGAATATTTATTTATTTATATATTGGGTTAAATAATGAGTGGTATGGTATAGTTATTGTTTGGTATGTAGATTTGCTCTCATTCCTGATCTTTCTAGTTATAAATGGATTAGGTGGTTGTTTTTGAAGCCAATCCTCTGTACTAGAAAAAATTAAAAATCCTCTTTGAAAAGCATGAAGCCTCTCTGGTTTAAATGATCTGCTTTTGTATCAGTACTTGTTAATTTAGTATCATTTCCTGCTTTTTGTTCCGGCTACTATTTCGAGACCTACGTGCCTGGTCGTGGTGTTGATCGTATTTTATTTCTTGGATAATTTTCAGGGTGCTGTTGAATCCATATTAGTGGATGAAATTAAGCTCAGTTATGTCAGTCCTTGGTTAAACTTGGGGCTGGCATTATCTCTACTAAAAGCTCACGGAAAACTAAATCCTGGAAACCTCGCACATCAGGCAGGGGAGAGTGGATGGTTTTAGTTAACATTGCAAGATTTATGTCAGTTTCTATTACGGATTTGGTTTTGAAGGAAAATGGTCTTTGACCCTTTTTTTTTCCTTCTTTTTAAATAGTGATCCTCCTTTTCATAATTGATTTTCAGCGCATAATTTTTTAATGCTTTTGTGATGTGTCCGTGTCTGTGTGCGTCCTGGAATAAATGTTAAATGGGGAGGTAGGGAGAGTGGTGGGGTACAATGTGTAATGATATAAGCTCAGCGAATTGGTTTTCGATTGCTACCTTTGTTTTGATTGTAAGTTATCAAATAAGAAATTCAGTAATAACATTTTGTTGGTTCCTGCAATGCTGCATAATAGCACTTCTCTAGGCAGCTTGGAACCTCGATGCTGGAGTATGATTTTTTTTCTATATTTTGAATCTATTCTTATATCTCCCTATCCTACTACTTAAAGAGAACATTACGTGCATAAGTTCCCTCAAACCCGCAATCTTTTAAGTGTCAATTTATTTAAGAGATAATCGGTATATAATTTTCATAGACATGTTTGTTAGCTCATTTGATTCAAAAGAACTGTTAAAAGTATGTTCTTGTTCAGACACGTAATATCATGTATGCTTTATCATCTAGTTTAGGTTCAACAATCTCTGAATCCGCTAGTTTCACATAGATCCAATGCCAATTTATACTTTTATTAATTATCATTTTTGCTGTTGTCCTTTCATTTTTAAAGTTCTTATGCTCATCAACTTAATTGTATCTTGAAACTATGCAGACACCTGAAGCAACTGTTGAAGTTAAGGAACTCAAAGCAGATATATCTAAGTATGGTGGCTCCAAACCCAATCTGTTTGTTAAGCTATACATATTACCCATTTCTGCCCAGGCTAGTCAGCTGCTCTCTGGCATTATGGAAAAACCTTCTGCTCCTAGCATGGCACTTGTATATTTCTAAATCTTAAACATGCATTTATCTAGCAATTGACAGGTTGGTCACGTTAGATTTGGGTTGCTTCAAGTTCAAATTTAAAATTCAGTCCATTTTACATTTGGATCTTTTTATGTTTGGACACTTTTGCTTTAAACGTTGGACAATACTATTTTGGTCACTTTTGACCAGTTTCCTTCATCGTCTGAAGGTAAACACTAAACAGTGTTAAAAAGACTAAAGTCTAGATACGGCCTTTCATTCATTATAAACAAATTCCATAAGATTTCAACAGCTCCTAACTGATATGTAATTTCAAACTATTTGAGTTTCTAATGTTCATGGATTTTTTTTTTTTTTTGGCTCATAGCCTCATACATTTCCTCATATCTACATGATCTTAGTCAGGGCTCTTCTTTCATAAAACATTATACTTGGTTTAAAAAATAACTTAAATCTTCTCCCACATTGAACTTTTCCTTTATAAAATACATTTCTAGCAAGCAAGAAACTGCTTGTAACTAAAGTTGACTTCAATATCATGCTTTAACAAGAATCTCCAATCCTATCATTTGGGTTGCCAAAAATCACCATTGAAAAGCAACGTCTATAAAAGTCTCAGCCAAGAAAAACTAAGCATCTCACTTTATAATCTTTTATGTCCTAATAAAAAATAAAATCACATATTATAAACGGGTTAAAAGCATTCAAGCAGTTTTCCTAACAAATTGTACACGGATTCTTGCACTTATATCAACAAAGAGAACCTTCAGAGTATCTAATATCAGCCTGAAAGCAGCAGCAGCATGTCTTTCCCAGTCAACACTAGTCGATTACCGTACTTAAGATTCAATGTCTAGCCGGTTTTTTCCTAATTATGACAACTCACAATCTGCTATATTTGCCTCCATATAAACATCATAAACTTTGACCTGTACGAAGCATGAAGACATGAGGGAAACTAACCGGGTAAAGTGTGTATAATACCCCACATCTCCTTAAATTATTGGCGCAAAGCCATTTGTAACCTTCTAATCAAAACTAGAAGGAGCATCGAATTCTGTATCTGAAGGATTAGCAAGCTCAACCAGAGGTTCCTGTAGATCACAAAACTATAGCATGAGATATTGTGTACCGGAAATAGTATAATCCCTATTTTGGAGTTATTTTAGAAGATGTGAATGTGATAATATGTTCCAATTTAATTCGAAACTTTCATTTGTAGGTGGACCAGAAAACAAAATGTTTCAATTTCTGATCGGACCTATAAGAAGGTGGAACCATGTCTAAACAAGAACATTGTGCTGTAGGAATTGTATTAGGAAGAAACGGGGCATTTTAAATTTCAAAAGAATCTACCTCTTCGAACAGAAGAAGATGTTGAGCAGTGAACACTAATATTACAGACCTCACTAAATAACAGTAATGCTATACCTGCTCATCATCATCATCTGCAGAGGGATGGACAATCCCCATAGGCAAAGAGTTTGTAAGATCTTCTGCACTTTCATGCAAATCCTGCACCATGCGGAAATGCAAGTTACCAAGAAAGAGAATATATTACCTATTAGACTGGTTCACTAATTTATTTCAATTCTGAGGATTGTTCTGCTGAATCTTGGTAAGTTGCTTCAATATGTAAATAAATATCCACCTAAAACACAAAATATAAGATTTAACATTTAAGATATTGTCTCTTCTCAAAACCTATGCCCATATAAATCCTACCCAGCAGGGATGGCCCAATCAAATACAAGAAAGAATCCAATAGATAACACCAATCAATAAAAGGGGTGGCAGATATGAATTTGGCCTTCAAATCAATAATTATGGTAAAGTATCCACCATGAATTGATAAATAAATACTTAAAAATCACATTTACATGTTACTAGAGACTGTTTGCAGGCACTACATTAAAGATCCATTAGGAAAAATCTGGAACCTTTTCTCTTAAAGCATACATTGTTCAAATAATTCCCTTTTAAGTCCACATAAAAGGAAGAAGTGCAGTACCTGACATGATTTTTTTAACTGGCGCAAAAATTTCATTTCAAAATAAAAACATGTAAATTCAAGATAAGTTAGGATCTGAAAACATACTTCTTCATTTGGATTGACAGAAGCATTATTGGATCCATCCATGATATCCTTTGAAGGATTTCCCTGCATAAACTTCATATCATGTTAGAAGGAAGAAACAAGTGACCGCCTTAAAAAACCTTGATCATAATATAGGAGAAGAGAATGTATGTACATTTTCATCCCGGTTACCAGAGAAGTCCCCTTCCATAATTGAAGGCTTGACATCAATTGGTGTTTCCTGTATACCATTTATATAATTCATTCAACAAATCTTGACCAAAGTAACAAGTAGTAAAAATAAAACATTTGTAAAGTTGAAAATATTCCTGTGAAACTTACAAGCTCAGTTTGGTCCATGGAAATATTCCTTCCTCCTTTACTAAGATCTCTCAGTGTTCCCTGTACATTCAACAAACAGTTATCGGAAATGATAAATCACAAAAAAAAAAAAAAAAGAATAGTTGAAAATTATCACCAACATTAGCAACATTCCAAAGACTATTCAGACGCATAGCTACGCAAGATGATGCAACAATACTATGTAGAAAAGCATGCACTATCAACTTTTCAATAGAAATAGTAGATAATAAAACTAGAAAAGCAAGCATCATTAAGAAAAGCATCATCGATAACTAAATTAAACAAACCTTATTTGCCCACATAAGCCCACAAGCATTACATAAAGTCCTCGGACCAGCTGGGCCACGACGCATTGCTGGAGTCTTATTTTCGCTAACACCACAATGTTGACATTTCCGGACGCTAAAACACATCGAAGATAGAATTCTTCAAATGGTTCATCATGATAAATATTTCCAAATAACCTGGTAATGAGCAAGTTTGGAACTCACACAGTTTCTGGACGAGGAGAACCATCTTGAAGGCCAGTTTGTGAGGAATCCCAACTTGAAGTACTCGTACTTTCCTTTAAAGATGCAAACTGCCCATTTTTACGATGCATCCTACAAGGACAAACAGAGAAGAAGATTACAACATCATTATCAGCTGCACTACTACCACTTGTGTATATATATTGGGAAGCAATAATTACATTTAATACTCTAATGTATACGGCTCCTCACACCAACTCATCTCAACTCACTATTCTATTGGCATCATAAGAAAATAATTAGTACATAAAATTGTAAATTGAAATAGCCAATATAAACAGAGCACATCAAAATCCCAGCCTACTTTATGCCTGTCCCTTTAACAAGAGAGATGCATGACCACATGGAAGCTTCTTAAATTCAAACTTAAACAAGATCAACTGCTCCCTGTATTAGGCACACTTCCCACAATGGCAACCTATAACAAATGCCTATAGCCTTTACACTGCTATGAAAAATTTTGAATTGTTGATAACTCTTCTCTCATTTCCACTTTTAACTTCTACATCAAAGGACAACTTCAATCCCTCCCATTTCATAGGTTCAAAATGTTAAACTTCAAATTTTAATTGTAGATCTAAACAAAATAAGAACCAAAAAAAATTCATACCTTTGTGCAACCTCTTTCCGTACAGTATACCTAATTTTCTTGTCAAAACATCTTTCTTTCCTTTTCTCACGGAACCTAACCAAGGATGCTATTCGTCTTGAAAGATTTGAGCGTTTTGAAACATCACCTACACCCTGCCCAATATGGTATGTGAAACAAAAACACAAAATACGAATAATGGAATGCAATTACACATAATTATTTTAACATCAGCAATACCCCGTTATTTTGATCAAAAGGTACTTCAATTGTTGGAACACCAGTGGGGATATCACAACCCCCTAGGAGTAACAGCACAGCTTGCACCTGTTGCATACAATTCAACGAACACATGTACTTTAGAAAAAAGGGAAGATAATCTAAACCATTAAATCCATTTAAAGAATAGAATAGAAAAATAAATTACTTATTACTTGACCGACAAAGAAGAAGCACATATACAACAAAAACAAACACTTCCTCAAAAAGAAAAGAGGCCAGTTAAAACTCTAATGCACAAAATCCATTAAAGACTAGCTATAGTAAAATAGTAAATGGTCAGTAACTTCACTAATGGAGGATAAAGATTGAACAAGAAAAAACATAATTAGCCAATCAGAGTTGGATAATTTAACTCTAAGTCCAATTTTCCTACTAATCTCCTACTTAGAGCAGGGCATCAAAGCATGGAATCAGATTGTATATCAAAAGTTATCAGAAGTGATGATCAGCAAAGATAAAGTTGTTTTTCTTCCATAATTCAGTCGATAATTGTTCAAAAGAATTACCTTAACCAACTGTGGAAAGATCCATTAATTGAAACCGTCAACCATATCCTAAGAAATGAATTAGGCCTCTGCATATTAAACTTCTTATTTAATTTTCAGAGACAAGGCACTTTTTTTTTTTCTTTCAGCTAACTTGGTAACACTTCTCACGTCAAAACATTGATGGGGGTGAGTGCTAAAAAGAAAAACCCCATTACTTTAAAATAAGAAAAAAGGGGAAAAAGGAAATAAAAATCTAGCAGTCCGAATTTCAAATTTACTTTGCAAAAACAAACAGAATAAGCAGGAAAAGAAAATATTTTATTACCAAAATCAAACAAAAATAGTAACTACAAAGAAAGAACTTTTTATATGTTTGAAAGAGGATAAAAACCTTTTCAGGTGTAACAGCAGGGAACACGTAAACTTCTCCTTCAAAAGAGAGAGTAAGCTCGCTAGTTCTCGACGCCATAACAACGCCTCCACCATTAACGCCGCCTATTACTCCTATTCCATGCTCCGCCACATTCACGGAGTTGACATTCGCGTCCTCAACGTCATTCATGGTGTCATCTTCGTAGTCTCCATCGTCGTCCTCGATCTGTATCGTCCCTCGCGCGTGCTCCTCAAACGGACGCGCCTGCAGTGGCTGTGGATTCGCAGCAGCCATATATAAATTACAGCAAAAGGAACAACCAAAGGCCGCACCGTTCCAATTGTACCAAAAGTCGAAGCCCAGAGCTAACGATTATCACCTGTTTCATTGAAGAACCATGGCTTCCGTTCGGTTACTGGTTACACAAAATTTTCTTTTATATTTTTTTATCAATACTTTTATTTTCTAAACCCTAACCCTAGATAGAGTTTTTCTTAGCTTGAACAACAAGAAGCATCGAATATGGAAAAAAAAAATGAAAGAAAAAATTAAAAATAAAAAAGGGAAAAAAGGTTGAAAACTATCCTAAATATAGCTAAGATTTTCAGGGGGCGTGAACTCGTGTTTCCTTAGAGAGACAAAAATGGAATTTTTTTTTTTTTTTTAATTTTGACGGAAAGAGAATGTATTGCTTTGTTAAGAATTACTATTTGCAATATATAAAAAAAAAGTTGAAAAGGAAAAATAAAAAGCGGATTTTGATTGGGTTAATTGCGGGACTACGGATTTTAGGATACGTGGGGGTATAGTGGGGTCCAATTGAGTTGATGGATCACATCGGATATGTGGTGATGAATGATGAAGGTGGGAACCAATGAGGTGGCAATTTAGGAAACCAGTAAAAAGAAAAATCCAACGGCTGGTTTAAAATGACAGCGGGCGTGCGGTGAGGATTATTTTAAGGGAGATAACGGGGGTGTGTGGGCTTTTTTTTTTTTTTTTCCAAAAAGTAACTGTAATGATTATTTGGAAAAGAGATTGAAATTTGGAACTTTTGGATAGTGTGAGGCCGTATCAAATTGGATATTCGTAATAACAACATCATTGTTCTAACTTTGTTAACTTTTAATTTATTTTTTTATATTAAGTAGTAATATTTTATTTTTAATTAATAAATTAAAATCTAAATTGTTAGTGTACGATGATTGAAAAACATGAGATGTGAATAAAATGCCGAACTAAAATGCTTAAAAATATTAAAATGTAATCTTTACATGAATAGGGTATTGGCAAATTGACAATATTATAAGATATAATATTCTTCTTTATTGAAATTAACATGTCTTATTTTAAATGTATATATTTAATAATTTATGAATTTATATTGTATAAAATATTTATAATTTATGTATTTAAATCATATTTGATAAAAAAAATTATGTATTATAATTTATTTCAACATAAAAATAAAAAAAATATATTTTTATTTGTATTTGTTAAATCTATATATAATTTTTATTAACATTTTAATTTGTATTATCATTGTATATATTTTTATATAATTTTCATAACATAACTTAAATTGCCAAATAACATTAGATGCTCCGATATCTTAAAGATGAAAAGTATATTTATAAATGTCAAAGAGTAGAGTTTCTACTTTTTTACTTATGCACTCTGAATGCAACTTGCTCGAAATTCTGTCAATGGAATCAATAATGTAAAAGTATGATGGTGGGTGGTGGCAGCTACGTTATTATCCATATAGAAATTAAGTCGGAAGGACCTTGGCCAAATGGTTAAGGTTCTTGATGGAGACATAGAAGGTCTACGTTCGAAACCAAGCTCTTCCATTCCCTAATGTTATCCCGTGGACAAAAAAACATAAGAGTTGAAAATAGAAACACCCAGAAAAAAAAAAAAAAAAGCGCTTTTAACCAGCAAAAATCCTACCATCTAGTTTCAATTGTTCAGCCAGGCCAGATATAATTTTTTTTTTATTTTATTTGAGAAGGTATTTCTTCTAGTTTCCACATTGGCAAGATACCTTTGGGCTTTTGGACATGCTAGGTGTTTGTCCACATCCTTTCCAAATTTCTACCAAACCCAATGCAGCAGCTGCTTTAGAATTCAGATAAGGAATTTGTTCGCCTTTTAAGGGGGGTGGGGGAGACGGTGAGTGGATAAGGGAATATGGGACAATGCGAATGAAATCGACACGACTTCCAACCTCAACAGGGTAAACCAAAGGAGGACTACGAAAGAAGGATCGCGAGTTTGAAGGTCAAGAAAAGCACACTACGCTGTTGGAGCTCAGGTCAACGAATAATCAAAATCCAAGAATTAAAGAATACAAACAGAGCTACCACCACACTATGCTTCACATCAAGACATTCCATAGTTGATTGTCAGGTTGGCTGGCAAATGGTCGGCCTTGTTGCCTTCAAATGGACAAAACAAAAAAGGTATCTATAAATTAACCAACGGTGAACTAGATCCCCTTTAGTCTCATAAGCACCAGGTTCACCATTCTTGGGAAAATGATAGAACAGGACAAGGATCTGACAAACAGAGAATGAAAATATAAACTCCAATTAATCTGATAATAAAAATGATTATCCAGCCTTTACGTTAACTAAATATGCATTTTGATTGAAATATAAAAGAGGCTTAGATAGTCTGCCATTCAGAACAACTGTTCTCGGGAGGGATTAAGATATTGGAGCATATGGCCCATCAAAAATTTCCAAAGGTAGATAGTTGAAGCTTTTCTGGTGAAACATCCGGAGTAGGTTTCTCTTAAAGAGGTAATGTCATGCAAAAGTACTAACTCAAGGACTAGGAGGAGAAAACCTCGTATATTGATCAAGGCAACTATGATTTCTGTACATATGAGACAAGTTTGAAATAAACTACTAATCAAGATCTAGCTGACACACTGACCATATTGGCACAGATGATTAGTGCTCAGCAATTAGAGCTGAGCCATCACCATTTGAGAAAGAAACTACATTGCTTTGTGTAGGGATAGCAGCTCCAGAATCAGAGTCATTTGCTTCACTTTCTCCCTATATCAGAGAAAAATGCAAAGCCACGTTTATGTCACAGAAGTATAGGGGGTAAATTAGAACAAAGGGTCAAACAGAGCCAAAAAACAAGTTTATATGTTAAGAAACATGCCTGCTCAACTGGAGTCAGGGAATGATCCCGAGATTTCTTGGGAATATCCCTCAAAGTACCCTGCATGAAGTTCAAAAACTCAAAATATGTACCATGCTGAATGTACGGCAGAATGGAAAGCATTGACACACATGTAATACTAAAAGCAAATATAAAAACAAATGCTCATAAAGAGACAGTGGATAAAACTTGAAGACAAGAATCAATACTTGAAAGGTAAACAATGGGGAAGGGTTAGTGGGAGGGAATTTATTTCCTGTCCCCGCCACATTGGCAGACCATCCCAATTCCCATCCATGAATCAGAGACACTGTTTATCCCACCCCTGACAGTGAGAAGAGTTCTTATCTGTCCCATCCCCTAAAAATGGATAAGAGCAAATTACTTTTCTTGATAGTGAATTTGTTGTGTGTGTGCATGAGAAGAGAGAGAGAAAAGGGGGAAGGGTGTCACAGAAAAGGAGAAAGCAGAGAAGTATAGAAATATAGAAGAAGAAAAATCCCAGACACTCACAATATAACTAAAATCACAATCTTCTGTCTACGTAAAAGAGATAAACATTACATATGATATAATTGCATAAAGTGCAATGGGCAGGCCAGGGACAGGAACCGCATTCCCCATCCCCATCATGAGCAACCCAGTCAAGGATTAAACCGCATTCCCCGTCCCCCTCATTCTGTGCATATGTATTTTTTCATGTAGAACAGCAGCAGAGGGGGAGAGAAAAGGGAGGGGTGGGGGGAGATACTTAATTCCTACCAAAGGCTAGAGATCAATAGGAAACACAGTCAAAGTAAATGAACTAAATGAGAAAATTAAAGACCACATGTTAGATGCAGGAGGTATCTTAAAGAGTATGCTGATCGAGGTAGGTTGCAGAAGACTCATTTGAGACTGGATCTTAGATTAAACACAATATCTAGGTAGAAAGCAGGGAATAGGGCTTAGTATTTGGGAACTGGGATATAAGATTGGGATATATATTCCCGGGTGAAAATTAATTTAGAGCAAATAAGTAAACAAATTAAACCTATCCCTTGGCAATAACTTTATAAAGTGAGATGCCACTTAACCTTTCATTGGTAAATTAATTGCAATCAATTGAAAAAAATCTTCAAGGTGCAGTTAAAAGTGATTCATGCATCTAAAAGTAACCAATGTATGAACAGAAATACAATGGCAAATGTAGCAACAGAATCATGGGGCAGCAAATTTTCTCAAATGTAAATGAGAAACAAGGACAAAGTGAAGAAATGTGAACTATCAATTACGGCAGAGACACCAACCTTGTTTGCCCAAAAAAGTCCACAAGCATTGCATAGAGACCTTGGACCAGATGGACCACGCCGCATCATTGGTGTTGCCTTTGAGCTAATGCCACAGTGCGTACATCTGGACAAGTGAGAAAATGACATTATATGACAACTCCAATTATTATAATTTATATTGAGATTTTACCAGAAATGAGATATATAATGCTGTATGTATGATGGTAAAAAGGAAACACATTTGCCAGATCTTCATACAAAGAAAATGAAAATAATAACATCTGGAAGGTGGTATAAAACTCACAAAGTATCTGGTAGGTTATCATCATCCTGAGACCAGCTGTAAGATCCATCAGACTTCTTGGAAGATGTAAATTGACCCTTATTACGCTGCATCCTGAAGCACTCACAGAAATCAGAAACATGAACATACCAAATATGGAACAAATAAAAAAAAAATTCAACAAGGACATATGGTCCATAATGAGTTTTCTAGATTCCTTTTCAGTTAAATAAAACACCCTAAGATAAGACATTAAAAATTTGGTTTCCATGAACTCTATTATATATATATATATATATATTTCTAAATTATGCTGTTACTTAATCATTGCTAGAGATGTAAACTTCCCTAAAAGGACAAAAAGGGTGTCCTCTCCCATTTGTCCATGTAGTACTCCTATTGCACCTAGACCAGCGAATTGAATGTTGAAGGAAAATAGTACTCTTTGCCATTGTTTGAATTCTTTAATTTCTTTTCCCTTTTGTGAGACCCTTATTAGACTTCATCCATTTCCTGTACATAAGAAGTATGTCTAACTGAAAACAGTTTAATCAGTTAAACTTGCCCGAGTGTAACAGTTTAAACTGTTGTCTCTGCTTTAGAATATAGATCCCCTAAGCCACCAATATTTTTAGAATAATAAACTATTAGTGAACTGAAATTGCATTGTTACACACAGCATCCTCACTCTAGATCATGAAATTATAAATATGAGTTTATACAGGTTCTCTAATTGAAAATTGTATTCCAAAGTAGTTGTTTACAAAGTAACAGCTTCCTCTCATTAAATAAACACTGCATGAACTTATAATCAATTTTAAAGACACAGTGACATGAATATACACGCAAGATTACTGCTTACCCCCCGTAGATATTATGCTCTAGCAAATTTTCTTCACTGAGTTTGATAATTTTGTAGCAAAACAAACAATGCTGAGGTCAGTCACAAGCAACAAGACCATCAATCAATTAATTATTAAACTTGGTAATACTAAACAGTTGGAAAAAATCATCCTTATACAGTCTGACGTTCCATGAAATACTTCCTGTTAACTCCTGATTTGTTAATCTATCAGCAATATTTTTACTCCCTAGATCCTTAGTCTTAATAACAATTTTATGCAGAAAAACAGTGAACTAATCTAACATTAATGATGCATGCAGTAACAGTAAATTAAAAGAGTGGCTAAAGCCAAGATTAAAATGCCATGATCATGTTCAATAGCCTATGGAAACGACATACATAACTTGCATAAATACGAAATTATGATAAAAATCATTTACTTTGGCTATCCGGTACAGCCAACACATCTCTTATAGTACAAGCCTTACCCTACTTGAACGTCCTAATGCTGAGTAATTCCTCAAACCTCAAAAGCCCATTGTTACTATACTAGTTCCCAGGCTAAGTTAGCATAGCATAAATTGCAAGAACAATGAAAAAAACTTTCCTAGTACAAAATTTGATGAAATACTTTTACAAGTACAGCGAGCTAAACTAACTACATTTCAGGGAAGGAAAATACACACCTAAGAGCAACTTCCTGGCGAACAATATATCTGACTTTCTTATCAAAGCATCGCTCTTTTCTCTTCTGACGAAATCTATCTAATGAAGCTGCCCTGTGAGGTTGATTAGATCTCGGAAATTCCACACCACCCTAAGCAGGAAGAAAAAGGTAAATTAAAAAAAAAAAAACTAAATAATTTATAAATTCAACAAGTTTAAGAGAATTACCCTTAGGTTCCGAGATGAAATTTCAACACCATGGGGACCTGAAGTCAGTTCACATCCACCCAAAAGTAATAACACCGCATGAAACTGCAAAAATTCGATTCAGAATGAAAATCTTTACAATGTGCATTTCATTGGGGAAATTGTAGAAACGAGAAAGATGAAAAGTCGGATTTTGAAATTCAATTTTGCTTTGATAACTTAAAATAAGTGTAATTGGTGTCCTATCTCTCTCCAATTTAAGCCACCAATTTTTGGTTCTCCAAAAATCTAACATTTCAACAAACCCTAATTTGCTTAATTGAAAATCAGTTTTAAGGAAAAAAAAAAAAAGATGATACCTTATCAGGAGTAATAGCATCGAATACATAGACCTGGCCTCGAAACGAGAGAGTGAGTTGGCAGGCGCTGTCCACTCGATGAACCACGGCCAAGTCAGAGGTGGAATCGGCGGCGGCAGTGACGTAGATATGATCGGTGCTGACGTCCTCGACCCCGACGCCGTCGTCAAGGGCATGAACGTCGTAACCAATGCTGTGGTGGTTATCGGCGGATGCGGATGCCGAAACATTGTCGTCGACGCCGGAGCCGGCGATCTGAGCGGGGATGTTCGTAGGCTGGAACTGTCCGTACATTACGGAAATTGGGAATGTTGAAGCATTACAGTATAACAAAGGGGAAAAAGATAAAGTGAAAAAAGTTTTTTTTTTTTTTTATAGGTTTTGGGGAGAGTTTAAACTGGAACAGAATATATGCCTGAGACAAAGAGGGAGGTGCGTTAGAAGAGCCGAGGAGTGTGTTTTTTTTTCTGAGAGAAAGAGATTGAGAGGCCAGAGACTGAAGGACAGCTGAGGACAGGACGGAAGGGTGAGATAAAAATAACACCCATTTTTTGTTTTATTTACGGTTATATGCCACTCTTTCAGGCCTAGGCCCCAGATTGCAAAACTTTTTTATATATTTTTACTGATAAATTTCTATGTTCAATTTTGCTTTGGGCTATGCGGTCCTTGTGGGCTTTTATATTTAAGGACTATAAAATTATTATCAAATCTGTAATAAAATGTGAGGGGCAGATTCTCTGTATATGTCATGCTGCCGTGGCCTTTTGAGTGAAAATTTTTAAAGCTCTCTCCCCCAACCTAATTTCAATGCTCATCAATTCAACGGAGAATCGCGAAGTTATGAACATAGTGGTGTTCCCATGGCTTGCAATGGGCCATTTGATTCCCTTCCTTCGTCTCTCCAAGCTCTTAGCTCTGAAGGGTCACAAAATCTCCTTCATTTCAACCCCAAGAAACCTCTCCAAACTTCCCACAATTCCCTCAAATCTCTCATCTCAGATTACCCTCATCTCCTTCCCTTTGCCTAACGTTCCCAACTTACCGCCCCTCGCAGAGTCCTCGATGGACATTACTCATAACCAGCAGCAGCCACTCAAGCACGCCTTTGATCTGCTACAACCGCTTCTAACTTCTTTCCTCCAATCCTCAAAACCCGATTGGATCATTTATGACTATCCTTCTCATTGGCTCCCTTCGGTCGCAGTGCAGCTAGGTATCTCACGCGCCTTCTTTGGTGTCTTCACAGCTGCGTGTTTATCCTTCATTGGTCCACCTTCGGCGTTGATTAACGGTGGAGATGGTGCTAGGTCAACGGCTGAGGACTTTACGAAAGTCCCCAAGTGGGTTCCTTTTGAATCCAATCTGGCCTATCGTTTGCATGAAATTACTAAATATATCGAGCGAACAGATAAGGATAAATATGGACCACCTGACATGCTCCGGTTCGCTATTTCCATTCAAGAGAGTGATGTTGTTGTTGTTAGAAGTTTTGATGAGTTTGAACCGGATTGGTTCAATCTTTTAAGTGGGCTATATGAAAAACCAGTAATACCGGTTGGTTTTTTGCCGCCGATACTGGAAGAAGATGAGATTCAGAATGATGAAAAATGGGTTGTTTTTAAAGAATGGTTAGATAAACAGAGAGTTAACTCAGTGGTTTACGTTGCTCTGGGGACTGAGGTTCATTTAATTAAAGAAGAACTCACTGAGTTGGCTCTGGGGTTGGAGAAGTCAGGTTTACCTTTCTTTTGGGTGTTAAAGCACTCACCCGGGTCAGCTCAGTCAGAGTTGGAGATGTTACCGGTTGGATTTGAGGAGCGAGTCAGGGGACGTGGGTTTGTTTACTTGGGGTGGGCTCCACAGGTGAAGATACTGAGTCACGAGTCCATTGGGGGATTCTTAACTCACTGTGGTTGGAACTCAGTTATAGAGGCACTAGGCTTGGGACGGGTTTTGATAATGTGTCCGATGCTGAATGACCAAGGACTAAATGCCAGGCTATTACACGAGAAAAAAGTTGGTGCAGAGATACCAAGGAATGAGATAGATGGATCGTTTACAAGCGATGCAGTGGCCGAGTCAGTGAGGTTGGCAATGGTGGAGGAGTCGGGCCAGGCGTTGAGAGAAACAGCAGAAGCAATGAAGAGATATTTTGGTGATCAGGATAGGAACCATCATTGCGTGGACGAATTTGTTCGTCAACTAGAGGATAACAGGAAATGACAAAGGAGCAGGTTTCAGTTTTTGTTGAATAAAATCATAAAGAAATTACAAGAATGTAACGCTATGTTATTGTACCAAGTAATCTCAATGGATTTCAGTCTTCATCTTTAGTTTGTCTTTGTCCGCCTCTTTGAATTGTATATTATGAAATTGACAGCATTCTGATTTCTAAGAAATCGGCTGCCGAAGATTGACCAACTGCGACAAGGACCGCCAACAAAAATGGACTAATATCAGTTACATGAGAGCCTCCCTGTAGACCTGACTGGCTAAATGAGATTCAGATTCAAGCAATTGAAGATCAGATGTGAACAGTTCAGGATGTGAACAACTGGAATGTTCCCTAATAAAGTTGGTATACGCTTACTCCTCAACCCCATTGAAGATCAGATGCCCCAAGGATATCAGGTGATTTCTAAAGCCAATGTCAATCAACGGTTGATATCCAAAGGAGGGGGAAATTGTTAATTTTACTGACCAAGGATGATGCTTGAAAAGAATAAATTTCCATTGATTTTGGAATCAGGCATCTAGCCCATCTGTACAAAGTTTGGGTTGGGACTTCTGACATTTTGCTATTTTGAAAAACAGAACTATGAGCTGAGATGCTGCTGTTTATAATATAAAAGAATTGAAACCGAACCTAATAAGAAAATATTGTATTTATATGTGTTAATATCCTGATTTATGTCTCGGGTTCTCAGCTCTTTGTTATGAACTAAAAAAAATGAATTTCTAAAAGGTTGCGTCTCTGACCTGCCTGTCTATTAATGTTAAAAAAAAAGTAAGAATCCTGCATCTTCGACATATGATGCTCAGAAGATGCTGCCACCAATATCGCGTCTAGAGAAAATGGAGGAATGGATATAATTTTCATAGCATTCCTATCGACAAAGGAAAACAAACAAAATGGTGAAAATGGAATATAAAATGCCAGATATTTGTTGAAAGTCAAGCAAAATTATTGTTTCCTGTTTACCGGTTAATTATACCTCTAAAAGAAAAATCGAAAAGTCAGAGTTGAATGTTGATCTCAAATTCTGAAATTAAATGCTTTCAATCTAGTGTTTGTTCTGTCTATGATTTAGCACTGTAAGGATCATACTAAAATTTTTTGCAGGAATGAAGCAAATCCAGCTAGCCATCTTTGCAACTCACAGATACAGCCAAGATGGCTCAGTTTCACATGTGCCAATCTGATTGGAAGGGGATTCATAAAATCCTTTTTATATTTCTAAATTTTTGCTAAGCAAAGACTAAACTAACATGTAAGTCACCTACCTTCTCTTCTAACCACCATTGACACTATCTATTAACACTGATAAGCAATGAACTATTTGACAAACTCTGACATGTTTTAAAATTCCTTGAAATATATTCAAAATAATCACTTGAATTTGCTATGCCATTTTATTGAATGCATAGAATGATATAGTGTTAACATGAATATTGATTACTATCAGGCATACTTTCCAAAAATATGGTGGTATATATGCACCCAAAAAAAATTATGGTGGTATACGCATATATAAAATATTTATGTGAAATATCTGAATGGTTAAACCAACATGCAATTTTGTAGGTTGAAAAAAAAATGAAAAAACACCAACAAACAACTTTCAAAGAGCTATGCAATGTAGAGGCAAGCAACAAAGGCCACATCAACCACATTAAGCAGCTTTGATCTTGCATGCTGGAAATGACCGTAACTACATGCATGTAGTAGATTAGTATTTTAAAGAATGAAGTTATGCACTGAATTAACTTAATTCTGTTAAATGAATGAATGACTAAAATTATACATCAGTGAGCAGAATACCTGAGATCAGTGTCACCAATCAGACCTTAATTGTCAAAACAGTCATTCCCACCCTGAATCATAGTTTAGCCTGTTATAGAAATTTATGTCTTCGGATTCCAGGGAAGCTAGCTTTGCGTAGTTGAGGATTTTCTATAGAATACACAAGAAGACTTCCATCTTTTGTCCCGGCCAAGAAGCACTCTTCTAGAGTCACAGTAAGGATGTTATTATCTTCCCTACATTATATCTTTTCACAACCTCAAGTGTGTTCATAGAGCGAACAACAATGGGTCCTTGGTCACCAGCACAAACCAAAAACTCACCGCAACCCATTGAGTTCAACACAGTTAAGGTGCCGGTTGGATTCGGAAGAGGCAAGATGTTTTCCATTAATAGAATAGAGGTGTAAACTGAGATCACCATCAGCATAAAGTACAATCCGTCCATGCTGAGAAGCTACAAGTTTTGACAATTCACTGCCAGATGGATGTTGTAAAGATCTTACATATCTTCCATCTCGCAAGGTATGGAAAACACAAGTTTCGTCTTTTGACCCAGTAATAACTATGTCAAGCTCCACACTTACTTACAAGCATGTAATTATATCATCATGACCACACAGAATATGAAAGGGAGTTGTATATAAACCTAACGTACTTATATAATTTAGAAGAATAGCTTTTTAATATACATTTAGTTTTACTTTTAATTTTTTACACAGTTTTATTTTTTAGTTTTTTCACAATTTCTAATGTAACCCACTTTTAAGAAGAGACATTGACAGTAAGAGAAGATAATGGTAACTTTGAGCAGATTACAAGGACCATTAGGAACTTGAGGTCATAATTTCAAAGAACTTAACATAAACTATTTATTATTATTCACACAGATAATTCGACAAGTGCAATATGGTAACTTTAAAGAGTTTACCAGTAAAATTTAGAAAAGTTTCAACTGACTAGGAATACCAGTTGAGCTTTGTACAAAATAAAATCAAGCTTCACATTCATTTTGTCAGCAGATTTAGAGCATTCCTTTAAAAGAAAAATACCTGCAACCCCGCTGACAACATCATTGTGTGGTTGAATGCTCTGAACCAGTCTTCCATCGCTCAAAGATATGACTTGGAAACTGTTTTCCCAATTGCCACATGAGATTAAAAAGTCTTCTGATGGTGTCTGCATTGTCACAAAGCATTGTGCTCCAAGAAAAAAATGTGTACAAGGATATCTATTGACACCAAAGTTACTATAGAAGTCTTAAAAAAGTGTGAAGCAAGTCTATATTTCGCAGAGTCCATCCAAATTAACGAGCTTAACTCCCAGAAAGTTTAGCCCTCATCTCATAGGACAAGGGATAGCATGAGGCATGTTTTTGTTGCACCAGCATCCTTTCTTTTTGTCCGCATCTGTTGTGATACAAGTTCAACTTTGTACGGTTACAGATTAATTCATGTTGCAGTACAAAAAATTTTAATTCTTTCTTCCCCAAGAATTTTCATTCATTTGCTTATTTGCTTCTGTGCTATTCTGTATAAAACAAAGCAAGGCATTTTCTCCCCTTCATTTCCCAATGGTCTATATCTGTCCTGTTGGTAAATGAGCTGCATCTTTGTAAGTCTTACTTTGAAAAAACCTCTCATTGTACATCATTTTCCTTTTTGTTTTTTTTTTGGAAGGAGTGGGGGTTTCAACAATTTTTTTACAAATATCTCACCTATAGCTTCATTCAAAACTCAAACAATAGAAACAAATTCCATTACTGAATATCTAGAATTGCATTAGAATCTTGATAATTGTTACTTTTCCAATATTTCTCATAGCGGGCCCTGTAAGAACAATTACATATCTACACAGTTCGAATCAGATGGAGGGTGTAACAAATTTGATATGATAAAAACTATTACACAAACAGGTATGTGAAAAATAGTAAATCAAAACTGTTAGGGATTAGTTACAGAAGTTCCTATCATCTTGACACAATTTAGAGACATTCTACCTTGTAGGACAACCATCATATGTATTACTCTTAAACAAATCAAACAACATTTCTGAACACCTGATAATTCTTAGATTTGACCAAGTAGTTTCTTAAGGAGGGTCCCATCATCATAATACTCAATATGAGGACAACCATAAACCCCAAAACATTCTTGAAGCAGAAACAACCTACTGAGAAATCAAATTGTCCCTGGATAAGGTCTGAAACATGACATTCTCAAGGGGAATTCACATACCTTAGCCCAGGGAGGGAGAGAAACATCACTTATGGGTCTTTTCTGACCCCATGATGATAGGAGTTTGAATTGATAAGAAACTCAGGAATCAACTCCTTCACATCACTTGTATTAGAAAGGCAATTCCTATATGTGTCTTCAATGCTTTGAAAAAGCCGATCTGCATTGTCAAATTTACCGCCCTGATGAAAAATGATTAATTAGTGGAGCTTGTAGACCATAAATTGACATGCAAGTTAAGTGATAAACAAGAAAAGGATAGAAAACCAAATGCAAATGGGAAATATTGAAAGAGAAAGGAATACTATTCACAAGTCATGATTTGAACCATATTTAATGCAATCATACGTATGACAAGTACACAATTATCAGACTTTATACAACTATTGCAGTCAGTTTTACATCCTTCATCATTTGTTGGTAAAATCATACGTGAAAGAATTAATTAATAGCTATGGTTCATCCAAAACTCTAGCATCCATCATGCCCTTGAAAAACTAAATGCTAATAACCATCTCATAACAGTTATTTATAAAAACAGTAGCTATACAAATTTTTTTGCAAAACCTAAGATTATGAAGTTTCCACCTGCAATGGAAACTTTTCAACTAATGATAATCTCAGATGTACTTTAACTTTCCTCCATATGGAGGAGTAAATAAAAGAATACTTAAGCGGCTTGCTACCAGTCCAAAAAAGCAAATTTAGCAAAGATCAAACCAAAATACATGCGTTCAAGACTATTTTACCAAAGGTTATCGGCTGCTCATCATTGCACATGGTGCATTTTAATCATATGATACCCAAATTCATCATGCCATTGAAAAAGATACCTGTAAAATTACGGTGAAGAGACATGAAAGGCTCTAAATAAAGCACAATCCCCATGCTTGAGTAATGAGACCCATAATAGAAACTGCACTAAGAAGTAGAAGAACAGCAGCACATTAGAAAATTAACTAAAGCGAACTCTTTCGGAAAGAACCACTGAATGTACTCAAACATCTGAATCATGAAGCATAATGTTGAGAAATTTGGAGAAAGAAAAGTGATGTAGATGAATCAACATTAAGTACGTCATTCTTTAAATGAAACCCAAAAAAAAAACTGACCTGAAACCGTTTTGAGTCCAGTGCTCCAACGGGCTTGGAGAGATCCCTAAAAGTGGATGACTTGTTAAAATCAAGAACCTCAGATGAGTAATCAGCCAAACTCCAAGGAAAGACAGGATACTGAGTCAAATCATCATAAGATCTCCCTGAAAGTGTGTTGAGAATCATCAAATACTCAAAGTTCGTTATATCCCTTCTCTTCCATCTCTCCCTAGCAGTTTCCGCCATTTCCAGTGCCACATGTCTATCAACAAATGAAATAGTACCACTCTTGTCCCTACTACTTCCTCTTGGAAACAACAGCTCATTTCTGGTAGAAACTATCAGGGTTGCAATCTCTTTCGCATCCTTCTGCGATGCAAAATTTATAAATGTGGGAGCAGTCGAATCACTGAAGAAAATCTCGACTGTAGTGTATCTAAGCAAATACCGAGTCCAATGAACAGCTTTTATCTGTGACCAGCAAGTAAACAATAAGACATCAAAATGGAGTAAGAGATTCAAGCAATACAGGCCAAATAAAACAACTCATGTTTCCCTACCTTGCCAATATTCCATCTCCAATGACGCTTTACAGTTTCTAATTGTTTTATATACTAATTTTCTGCC